TAGCCGCATGTTGTTTCCCCATCTGGGCTGGAGGAGAAACCGGGGTGAATTGCAGGCGGATATATCTTGCCCTTTTAAAACTGCTTATCATTGATTTTCTTCACACTATGCACCCAAAGATGATTTAATTGATGTAATGCTTGACACCAATGAGCCAAATCTCAGGTCTCTTGCTACATCTGTGGGAACATCGGCGACGCTTGACACTCACGGGTACCAGTTGACCCGCAGCTTAAAGTAAGGGCAACCTAGACGCTTCCCTGAAAGTGTGAAGTTATATATACTGTGCCGCATGCAACTGTTGGATTCAGATAAGACCTTTCTTCGCCCACACTAGTTACGACAAACAATCAATTCAAGGCAAGATAAGTCACAAGTTTACCACGAAGCTGTCACCACCAAAAGGGCGGAAATCTACTGATAGACTGAACCCAGTGTACTTTTTGGTGGTGTGTAAACGGTGGATTCGCAAGTACAGATTACTCCCAACAAATAGGTTAGATGCTTTCGATAAATACACTCGCAAATCAATTTGGTTTTCACGAGAGACCCAAATGAATCTCTCGATTATGGTATTCGGGATTGCAAGTGAGTGTATTTCTCGAAAATAGTCCAATTTGGGTTCAGGTGGAACATAAGGTTGACGGAAACCGGGAGACTACCCCGACCTGATGCGCTCCAAGAAGGGCGAAACCGGTCGTGGGCTGTCGAAGAATTTTCATCAACCTTGTGAGTAGATGATCAGTATTAATCACAAAACCACGTGTGTCTTGGAGAACCAGTCACCTACTGAGCTCCAGTTATCCATTTAAACACCTGATTATCACGTGAGTCTGAGAATTCAACCTGTTGATTACTTAGGCGAATTGTTAAAATCACAGCTGGCGAATTCCACAGAACATCGGCAACGATCACACCTGGATGTTTTTACAAACTGTTTCTTTTATTACAAAACGCTACGAAAGACGCCATTTGGTGCCAACTAAAACAAACCTGAAAAAATAGAAAGTTGACCATTTTGAACTCTCTTAAGTGAAATATCGGATTTTCACTGCGGTTCCATGCGACGGGCAAAACAACAAAAAGAGAGCGAATTTCATTCCCATTTTGTCACGAGTGGTAAATATTCCAATCCCCTTTTCTCTCTCCGAGTTGAGTAGGCAAGATAGAAGCAGTTTCGGTTCTCTTTAGGGTATAGCAGAATGACCAGCCTTGGCTTGTTTTGGCTGAAAACCAATACCAAAGAGCCAAGTTTCTCACCAAGATTGGTGCTACACTGGAAAGTTTCACAGAACTCTAAACCAACAATCTGGCCATAAGAGGGCCAAAGTCTGTACACAGTGATTTTGAACACATAACGATCGCCTCTCATTGGCCAGAATCCCCGTGCCAGTCGAGTCGAACAAACTAAGTGGGAACCTACAAATAAGTTAAAGGTGAGGTAAAATTGACATGATGCTCAGTAGCAACTATGTACATGGAACTGGTCATAGTAAGCTGTTGTCCACACAGAAACTCACCAGAGTGGACAAAAAACAGAAGAGAAAATAGGGAGCACAGTTCGCCTGTCTTGAAGACATTGTGCTTCTTAGTTGTTTTCAACGGGTAAAGTTCATGTGGACTGACCGAATAAGTAGGACCTTTCAGGAGGGTTCTCTATTCAAGTACAGTGTACTGACAGAAATACAAATCAGGCTGGTCGCGATTTTAGATTGCTAGAATACATTAGTTTACACAACTTATCTGGTAGCATTATGCGGTAGACCACTAAACATGCACACATAACCAGAGCAGCTAAGATTGAGGACCAGTTGCTGAGAACTGATTAATCAAGACTTCGTTCACATTCGAACCTTTGGCTTTCTTAACAAATAAGTGGGCTATGTTTCATGATACACTGCAGCCGAAAAGATGTTTACAGAGTTGTAGTACAGGGTCCAACTAATATTTGCAGTTGGCTACGTCTAAATCAATGGATGTATTACAGCTGCTTGCAGGATATCTCTGTGAACCATGAATGTCTAAAAACCAGGTTGACTATACGAACAAATTCAGATCCGGAATCAGATGAATGCTCAGCCTGACTTCAGTTTGCGAAGATAGGATGATGGACTTAAGCCCCCAAGTTCGATTCGAATAAGTAATAAGGTTACTCAAGGAGTCAGTCAATTCGTGAACGACGGTTGAGTGGCCCCATCCCCTGTCTAAATGTGAGTTAACCAAAGTGCTGATCAGTCGCGCGTGACCGAACGTCAGGTGTTCATACCACTAGCCCAGAGGTCGTGGGTTCGGAACTCCTTTGAGTTGTGTGGGGTGCGCACAGATGACGATCCCCAATAGGGATAAAACAGCTCTACAATGCTTCTCGGCTCTCATAATAGATTGGCCTCACTTACAGGACCAAATACTAATTGATTGAAAATAATGGTGTTTTTACCTGGGGCTATTTCTGCACCAATATATTTTAATGAACGATTTGTTGTGTATTATTGGCAAGAGCGTTCCCGTTAAGTTGTAGCACCTTTACGGTGCCTAACTGCCATGCCACCCGAAGGTTGCACGAAGGCTGGTATAATGCCAGGTTGCCCAAGCCTAGACAAGAGAATTTGAGAGGCAAAGGTTGGGTTCAAATCACGGACCATCGCGCTCTAACCACTTGGGCAATCTCGCCCACTGGTGCTTAGCTGTGGAGAACATAAAAAGGCGTCTACACCTTCGAAGAGCAATAAACACACCCCAACATCAAGTATAGATAGAAATCCAGCAGCGGGCCAGACCCAGCACCTTTTTTGAACCTTACCCCACACTAGCTTAGAGCCCAACGATGAACACCAGCTTGGCTAGCCCGCTAATAAATGACAGTACGCGGGCTCCAGTCAAGTGGATGCGAAAGTCCCGAAACGTTCATTGTGACCCTTGGCGGTTCTATTATATGTTTCCATGTTATGGGTGCTCTTGCGAATCGCTTTTCTCAGAGTTTGAGGTAGAATCGATGCACCATCTGGTTAACAGTGGTTCAAGCGTGTCATGCGTGTCCACTGATTTCAATGGTTCAGTGACCTTCTCAGAAACGAAGTACATAGAATGAGGAAGGTGCCCAATGGGGAACCTTCATACCACTGTCATGCAATCTACAGCAGCTTCAAAAAAGAAAATACGTTGTCACTCCCAAAAGGCTCTACTAGTCCTGAGAGAATAATACTCTATCTGTTGCAACCTTAACAGCCACGCCTGCATTGAAATAGTGACATTTGGGGAAGGCTTATATAGAGAGGGAGTACTTTACTTCATATAATGGAGACTCAATCCTACTCACTGATGGAATTGCTCACCTTGAGGTAAACTGAAGGAATGCGGAAAAAATGGGTAGCTTTTCTGGAGGTTTCTGGTATAATACTCGACTTTTCTGAACAGCGGCTTGAGAGAGTACCCCGTTCTTCAACGGAATGTGAGCGAATATTCAACATGTTGAAGTGTTTACTTTCCTCAGAGGGTTTTCGACAGTATTATAAAAAGAAAAACAAGTAAGAAGTCTTCATGCGTACGCACATTCCCTAGATTGTTGCTCATTTTCATGTGCAAGCTTTCGTCTCATAAATTCCAACATAATGGCGGATGATTGATTCAGCTACCCCACGCAAACGTGTTCGGCGTAATAAAATATCATAAACAAAGGGTTCAGTTGAGTCTTCCGTTAACACCATTAAGTTGCAAGTTATCTGGTCTTACAGATCTAGAGTGCGCATTACATCTGGAGTAAAGAGTCAAGTAAATCCGTATTCCTTTGACAACTTTGTATCGGGTTAAATGCACTAAAAATAACGGATAGAACAAGCTACAACGCCGAGAACAAAGGGAGGAAATCTACTGAAATCAAATTAATATATTAGCATCACATCATAAGAGTGGCTGTCGGGTTTCGGTTGCTGTCCAATGGCCTGGTTGACAGAATTAGCCACTTTTGAGTACATGAGTTCATCAAACATATCTTCACTGTTTACAAAATCATTTGTAAAACAGTCTTCGTTCAATTTGACACCCATCAAATAACTTTAGAAACCCCAGTCGGTCCATTGGGCTGTTGTAGTCATACCGTTTTGAATGGTACCGTCATTTGCTGTGTGAGTGTCTGCTTTAGTGGCTACAAGTTCTACTGGTAGCGATTAGGTCGCTTGCAGAACATGCGCAAACACCCGAATATGTCCTTTTATCCGTTCGGAGTCTAGATACTGATGGGAAGATATTTTCAAAATAAACTTGCGTTTGACGGTCTGTATTCTCACGGTTCAGCATTCTAAATACTCGTTTAAAATGGTGCGTATCGAAATACACGGAGGTAACTGTCATCAAGTTAACGAGATCAATTTATAACCAGCAGATCAAATCTAACAATCCCAGACCAAACAAACAACCCGCATGAATTTCTCACCAACAAAGTGAGGTCACAATCAGTTGAAAAGAGGAGGACAAACGCGACTGTTGAGCGCTTCAAACGGCCTTTTATGTGGTCCTATTAGCTCCAATGGTGGTGTGGTAGATGCGATTGGTGCGTGAATCCCCAGGGGTTGAATTAACTACGTTGATTTAGACATGACCGGCAACAAAACGGTATACAAGTGAGTCTCAGGGATGGGGCGTATCGTGCCATAGAACGGGCCACTTATTCTTATGGTCTTAAGACGCACCACCACTAGCAAAAGAGGTTGTGTGTGCAGGAATCATGCTGAAATTCATGCCCCCATCGAGAAATAAATAACTGAATTAGCATAGACTAAAACAGCTTAATGAATACTTAACGATGAAATCTGCCCCTATAAAGACCAAACGCTACGTCCGCAAAGAGAAGAGCGAAGATCGGTACAAATGTGCCCTGCCTAGTTCCCGAACAGGTGGTGGAGCGTATATCACTACGAACTGACTCAAAGGTTTCCAACCCTAAACCTTACTTTCCCACTTATGTGAATAGACAGTTGCAAAAATCAAAACATAGCTTTTTTTGGTTCAGAATGAAAGGCCGACAAACGAATAGACGGGGCTGAATGGCAGAAGGTCATCTAAGAGTTCACGACTTTGGACCGAACTCACTAAAATACGCGTTTTGTACAAAAAGGGTGAAAAACAGGAGGCAGAAAAATCACGCGGAGAATCGGAGGCTTCGCAGAAACTCTCGGCGGCGTGAAAAATAAATTTAAGTGAGCCGACACTTCGTTGCCGAAATACCATTCATCATAAGTAGATCTCAGTGATTTTCCGCAAGGTCTAGTACGCAGCATTCGAAAGCCGGGTAGGTTCATTAACGTAGTCGGCGAAGAATCGAGGCTTCGGTCTTTCAGTTCGTTTTGGATTGAGAGACTCATGGAGAGGACAGCGTTCTGGATGCACAAACTTTGCATCGGCTGAAGAAGGAGTATCGGAAAATTCCTTCGGCTTCATGTGAAACACGACAGCGTCGATACCAGAAGGTAGTCCCGTCTGAGTGAGTGTCAGAGCAGCGGAGTGAAGTTGATTCATGAACTGATTCATAGCTAGCATATGGTATAAAAGACAGGGGGCGCATTTTAGAATTTCACCAAACATGGAAGATCATAAAATTTTGCACCGATTCGCACATTGGAAAGCCGATAAAATGAGAACTTCTTTCATGGTCCTAACTGATATACCGCTATGAAAGTGCCAAAAGCGATGCAAACAAGCGAAACCTTGAAAATGACCCAAAGGGAGGGGGAGGCAATGCCATTTTTCTTACATCATACATTTACATCATACAAATCCTTCCGTGTATCAGGATTGGCTTGGCTGAACAGTGAAAAAACAAGCAGCAATCAGAGCGAACTTATTCTCACTTCATTCGCCCTATTGAAGCGTATTCCACGGGAGCAAGCCCTAATGAGAACAAGACAAATCTACTCATTTCCAAACTGATGTCGGTTACTGAGAGGTCTTTTGTCAAACTTTCTCGGGTAGTTCCAAGGAATGCGACGGAGTAGCCGGTTGAACAAATGACACGTCATTTTCGACAAATACACGAATTTGCATATCAATTTGGGAGATCCAACTGAATCTCCCGTTTAGGATATTCTTCAACTGAATGTGCTGCACAAGTGCCGTTTCACGTTTCAGCTGGTACGAGAGATGTCGCAGCATATTTTCATAAAGGAAACTAGTCACGAGGTTGTTGAAAACTGTCCGACAGCGCAGGACTGGCTTCGCTCTTTTGCGGCTTATCAAGTAGGCACAGTCCCCGAGTTTTTGTCAACCTTATGTATAATTTCAAACAAAATTGCACGAAATTCGACAAATACACGCAATTGCACAGCGATTTCGGGACTTCGCTCACCTGACGAGCCCCAAGAAGAGCAAAACCGGTCGTGTGCTGTTAAAGAGAAGTATTTTCCCTTATGAAGACGTCAATTTACTCTCCAACTCGCTTTGTTTCTTCACTGGACGGAATTCAATAGTGGATTTCCTTCAACTTGCACGGAAATACAGCGCAAATGACAACCTATGTCAGTTCAAGGCAGCAGCACAATGCAAGGACTTGATTCGTCGGTTTGGGCATTCGAAACCTATACCGTGCGGGAATAAACTGATCAAAGTACGGCAGGAACGATGTGGCTAAATAACTACAGCAAGGGCTGTGTACCACATAGTTTTGACACTGGAAATAATCCGTATCTCACTTGGCTGTTGACGACAGGTGATCCATCTGCCGGACTTGTTAACTTTTGGGAAAAATAAAAGCATCGGCATCAACAAAACAGGTGTGACCAATGCTTACCTTTTCCGGAGAGGAGACTCAAGGCGGAATCACCCATCGGCAATTGTGGATCATCATAATAGACAAGATAATAGTTCATTCCAAGCTGTACAATGTGACAAAAAGGACAGTGGCTAGGCAAAACATGTCCACAAGAATGAAGGTTAAGTCAAGAAGATTTATCTACTAGCTACTGCCAGCGAATTTCAAGGCAAAACCTTTTCTCACTGATACGGAAAAGGCCGACTAAATGCACATATATTATATGGACTATATGCACCTTATGCATGTTACATATTCTTACATGAAAACCGCTCACGCTCGGAGGTCGCCGTTAGAGGGAACATCCTCTACCTCAAATAATAAGATGACACATTGAGGCTACTGCAGTACTACTATGGCCCTGCCTGATGACGATTGCCACAACCCATTCCTTTTATGAGAACGCGTTCACCAAGCAGGAAAATATGAAAAATCATTCGGCTGTAGCACCTTTTCGGTGGCCAGCTGCAATGCAACCCGAAGGAAGCACGAGGGCTGAGATACTGTCAGGTTGCCCAAGCCTAGACAGGGGAAGTTGAGAGGCAGAAGTCGGGTTCGAACCACGAACCTCCCGGCCAGTAAATCCACGCTCTAACCACTTGAGCCATCTCGCCCCCCTTGCAGGAACATCGCCTCCAGTGTAGAAGCTGAGAGGAATACATCAAGCGACACCACCACACTGGAAAGGCAACCAAGGCTCTCGGTTGCATTGTTTTCATTTCGAACTTCAGAAAACATCGAATGTTTGCACGTGTATTTCCACCAAGAGATCGTATCAAGCCAACACGGTATTACAATGAAGTTTTCTTGCATTATATCACCCCGAATTGTGGGTTGCAAACTTGTCTACAACATGAATCACGCAGAGACCACGAGTTTGTTTGTAGCGTTTGAAACCCAATTGTGATGCTCGCAAGTCCACTCGTGTTGTCAACACCACGTCTTGTTTTCCTAGAGTTCTTTATAAAGCAGAATAATATTTTGCTGGGACCGGTCTGTCAAGGAAGGGGCCGTCTAAAGTGTACACAATTATACTAAATGTTTGCTTGATCGGACACAATCAAGCGATGTTATAGCGGTCCTCAGACATGATTTTACAACTTCGCGTTCTACTGGAGATAATCCACCCTCAGAAAAAAAGACCACCGGAATAGTTAAATTTTATTTGGCGACATTCAGAGTGTCTTGTTGGCAGTCGAAGTGGCCAATCAGAAGTTATCACTTTAAGGCCGATTTCCATGGGACCAGGGATGTCTCTCCTGGACATATTCCCCCCGGGGGGGCGATTGCGCATATAGTACTCCTCGAGAGCCTCATATCCCCAGAACCAAGCTCTTTTTGCAATGGCCCTTTCATGAGGGCCACGTTTTTGTACCGTTTTTTGTACGGCTGGGGCAGATGAAGGAAAAAACGCTACCACAGTTAACGTTTGGTAGAACCAGTCGTCAGTCACCTTTTCTTGTCAAATAAGACGAACCACTTGGGGGGGGGGCGAATTTGAAAAAAATTCCACTTAAAAAGTTAAGTGACAGTGAGAACAAAGACTGGTATATGCAAGAGCATATTGTAGTATCTCGCCGGTAAGAGTCTAACGGCCACTTGAAAAACAGAACTTCACGTGACTGTAGATGAGATAGGTCAGCCGCGAACACAAAAAATATGACCTACTTTCACTAAGTTCAAGGCCGCTTAAGGCTTACAATAAACTGCTCTCGAACACAGCAAAAACTTTGAACAGTGTATTGCAGTAGTCCGCACGAGCATCATCCATGGCGAAGGATGGCAAACAGGAAAGTGAGATCAACTTGACTAACTGTGGCGAGGTGTCTGACCATAGGGGGCTGTGATATTTTCCTCCCGTAAGCCAAATAGCATCTCAAACAAGGTTGGATTGAAGATGAAACAAAAACACCTGAAGCCGAGTTGCAAAACGTTTGAGCGCTACACACTTCCGAACACCGTTGGGGCCAATCTTCGTCAGGTTAAACTCATCACAACATAAACTGGTAATTCGGTTGGTTGAAATTTTGAACGATAAGGCAAATTATATGATAAGGAACAAAAGAATCTCAGGTCCCAAGGGTTAAGACCGCCAATACTCAATCACCCGGCGACCAGAGGAAACAATGTAAGGTAACGACCAGAAGGCATTCGGGAGCACAGTTAAAGATGGAACCAATGCAAGAACATGTGGGGGGGGGCAAGCCCTTCACCAACTCTCGAAATGGTTCGAGCGGTAATACTGAGATGGATCATCATCAAAATTGCCAGCTGTAAGAACCGCGTACTTGTCGTACAGTGGTTGTAGCTGCATCAGAGATCTTGATTGTGCGAAGTAATCATACAGTCATGCGTTATTCGCGTGTTGCTTCGTTACAGTTGGATCGGCGTCAATCACATTCCGCTGACAGGTGGGAATCATATGAGTCCCCATGAGAATAGATGCTGTGAAACACAGTGGACCGAGAAAAATAAAGTGTGATTAACTGCGGCCACATGCTACCTGTGTTTGCTTTGTTGTTCATTAATGAGGGAATACATCTTCAGTGACTTCAGCGTGGTATCACAAATTTCTTGTCACAAATTAAACAAAACCATTTTTCAGTCCGCTCATAGTTTAGTAGTTCCATCCCCAAAGCACGGAGAGTCAGGGCAAAGTAACAATTCATTTCTTGCCTGCTCCATCGATGGCCAGTTCAATTAGGCTTATTGAGCTAATCGCTTCTGTGCACACGGTTAGACTCAGTAGTGATCGGCTCGACAGCGTTCACCGTCAACAGTCGAACTATATTCGACCAATTACTTGGAGCCCGATAAGCCATGTCAAATGATCCAGCCTAGTTGATCCATGGAATCGCCGGCGACTACTTACTCCCCATTCTGAGAGAATTCATATGGTGCCTTTTGATTCGCTGTGACAAGCGCCGGACTGTGCGACCTATATAGTTTGCTAAGCACGTACGAGCAAGTGAGAACACCACCGCTGATGAATCTAGAACACATGACTTCACGTTGATATTCGCATTAGTGAGAGATGAAGTGAAATGAGGTGCAGCGCAAAATGTTTTCCCGAGTGGCTGTCTTATCCGAACTGGGATATACCTCGAAGCATTCTTCTCCTGGATGGACGTTGTTTATACCTCAAACCATTGAACGACAGACAATCACAGTTCGAGTTACTGCACAACAGGATCAAACGTTACCTGCGTTTTCTGGACGTGGCTTTCCGAAGAAAAACCGATGGCATCGTAGAGCAGAGGATCCATTGAAAATTAACGTGAGCTACCCAGAACACAAACTTTAAGAGTTCCATTGATATTTCACACGAACGAAGAATTAAATTATTTAATAACCGTTCAACTGTTACAACCTTTCGGTGCCTAGCTGCCACGCCACCCGAAGGAAGTAAGAGGACTGAGATATTACCGGGTTGCCCAAACCTAGACCGGAGCGGCCCAGATGCTAGGGTTGGGTTCGAATCACTGAGCCGTCTCAAGATGGGTTCGTTAACTAGCATACATGGCCAGAAGTATATGCAACCGGTGACAAAAACGAAGAAATAACGGGCTGTAAACAAAAAGGTTACTACACATCACGAGTCCGATAATGCTGTTGAACTAAGGCTTATTGTTCAACAGTTCATCTATGCTTAACATGAAGCTCCAAGACAAGTCAACTGTCCTCAGCTAATCACTAACAGTCTACTCGTTCGTTTGCGCTCGCTCCGCAAACGATATCCATCACGAGATCTCGCATTCGTCATAGAGGCATAGAGGGCATTGCCTGAAATCCCTAGGAGATGGGATTAGTCGGATAGTTGAAGCAAGAGTTTAGCCCGAAGACAGCGGATCTGGAAATGCCAACTATGAAGGCAGACTGGATCGATCCCAATCGAGGCTTACCCAGTAGATCAATGCCAATCAACGCCTGAGAATGCTCACACCCAATTCCTTTAGCTTAGAAGATCACTGATAAAGTTCAGAAATGGCCAAATAATGCGATTACGAAAAATGGATATATTGCTGAGTGTTTTCAACTTATCCACGGCCCAGAAGACACACATGCGTAACTCCGCTGAGAACCAAACGATCGTCCAATGAAGAAAGAGACCAACTAGGCTTCTAATGTGTTACTAGTCGTGACCTAGTGTGTAACCACAGATAGCTCAGTGGTTAAAGCAGGGCTCGAGCCCAACCTCTGCGCCCCGACTGCTCCTGTTCAGGCTTAAGGAACCCGATAGTATCCCAGCCCTCAGTCTTCCTTCGGCAGTGAGGCACCGGTGTTGAACACTAATAGCATGCTGTCGATGATGATGACATGACGGCTACCCACCGAAACGATGCTACAGCTGTAGAATCACTGTTATTTATTATCCACATAGACAAAATAACGCCACACAGAGCTTGATAGGTGAATGATTACCACTTCAAGAAACTTCACTGATGAATGCTGGTTATCAACTGTTGTACAAGCTGAGTTATCCAAAAGACACTCGAGATAAGGAGGTAAGGAGGACAACAACGTGGGGAAAATTCTGTCGAACAACTTAGACCGAGAATAATAGCAAGGAGGTTATCACAACAATCGCCTCACGACCATATTTCGTGGCGTTGTCATCCACCTGGAGACATTAATTTCGACACTATCTGAAAAAAACCTGGATGATTGCGAGCACCCAAACTTCGCCGTCACACTGTCTGCGCCAGTCAGTTTGATTGGGAAAAAATCCCTCTAACCCGATGACCAAGCCCGAATCACTGCAAATTGTGCACTAGATACAATACTCGGAGAAGTACCCACAAGAAGTACCTATTGTTTGCCCCCTTGAGAATTGGACTTGCCAACCAACACACAGTATTGCTGGCTTGTCTAACTGGCAAGTGACTCGGTCCGATAGTTGTTCGCAAAACGATATTACGTGTTTGGGAAGCAGAACGGGAGAAATAGCGTCCAGAACTCATGTGCTTTATGAAGCGGCTATTCTCTGTACGCGCGTGAAGCCCCAGGTTCTCGAAGAAGCTGTTGATAATTGGCAGTAGCCACACTATGATAAATAAAGTGAACAGACTATATAAAAGAATCGGAGAACCCCAGACCCCAAGTGAGGTTTCGACAAAATCACACGAAGAACAGAAAAAACGGTGGGATAACGCTAAGCTTCCGGTTCTGATTAAGCGGCTACGCTCAAGTGCGCTCCACTCTTGTCCTGGGACAAAGTCTGCAGATCCCCAGAGATACGGCCAGTGAAAAATCTCTTGCACTAAGCAGGATATGCTTCCAATGGACGGTACCTGTGGCATACTGTGCTACTGTGTCACGTAAGCTAAAAACGGAGTCGAAAAGGTCAGAAAATGATGTAAAATCAGGAGCGATCATTCAATGATGTATATCGTACCTCACTGAATCGTTCGTGGGCCTCAATTAGCATCGCAGACCGATATGATTTCACAAACACAGTTGTCTGCTTCACACGTTCGTTCCAACGTGTTAGGGGTGAACTGCCATTAACCGCTTGGTGACCTTCGGGTGAAGCGATGCCGCTGGACCGTGAAAGAACGACTGCATAACGACCGTGCTCTCCAGTGAGGCTTTCTTCTGTCGGTGTATCGGGTTTGTGAACCAAAGCATTGGGTTCTAACCACCAACGGCGGACGTAGATATATTCACGCTGGGCTAGAGGAAACGGAAATCTCGCAACCCAGCGGAGCACATCACAGAATGTGTTCGGACTATGAGCCTCATTTGGACTTGAATTGAGATATTCAAGTGTGACTATTCGATTATCCCAAGAGCGTCGATAAGCAATGTTCAATTGAACTTCCAGGAAGGATAAGGCCGAGATATCTTTGTAAGTGCCACATACTGCCGAAAGGAAATTAAAGTAGTATCATAAAAACAGGTTTCACGATACGAATACATCAGAAGTGGCCGAACAGGATAATCCACAAACACCAATTTAGACTGCAGACCGGAAACAAACAACTGAACAACTAAATGGGATTGACCGGTTTGGAAGCTAAATATCCCACAGATGTTTGTTGAATTTGTGCGGTTACCCCAGGCTTCCCAAGCGACCAAACTGCCGTTGACTTTCCGCGAAATATGAAAGCAAACGGGAAAACCAAGGCAGAATCCCAACAAACTGAAGACCTTCGAATAGTTTGCCGGAGAATAAAATCACCAAATTGTCTCAGGCTATCGTATTTGAAGCACTATTGACCCTTCCCAAATCCTAGCATAATAGAAATATATGTTCCAAAACCAACGTGCTATTGTAATTGTATGAACATCAAAGCACGGTTCTCCCCTCTTGATGAACGAAAGATCTCTGGAAATGCGATATGTACATGGTTCTTAGTGCATGGTGATGATGGTGACCCAGAATAGGCTCATCATTTGAATGATGGAAAAAACAACCACTAGTTTTCAACAACTGGTCCCGAATACGATATAACATTGGACAGTATCCATGACAAAATACAACTACTGTCACTGCAAATCCATGGAAAAAAGACGACACCCTTTATCCAAGGCAGACACTTTCGGAAAGGGACCGTTCCCCTGAATACTACACAAGTGTCCTCCATTAACCAGAACGTTGTGGGCGATTTCCCCTTCTCTTTTGTCCTGAACTCTCTGAGGGAACTCTGCAGATGGGTGAGCAAATACTTGAGAACAGAAGAAAAAATAGTTGAGACAGTATTGATGTTGTTTTAAAATTGTCATTCGCATGCAAAGTGAAAATTTACTCACGCCGGTATTCATATCGACATCTGGACTTTTCTCCGTTTTTCTGTGTCTCTGTGCTCGGTTCCTCCGTGTTTTCGTGAGCTGTGGGCGGTTGATTCGCATCAAAATCTATCGCTCGCCTCCAAACACGCAAATCGGCCTTATTAATCACCAAATCCCAGGTGTTGTCAACAAATCCAGTTCCATCAGGCTGAAGATTTAAACCGCCAAGGAGAGAGGAAAAGTGTGAATCCACCGTGTCACTTGAGTTGACGGGCTCTGTAATCGTACAGGCTACCACAGGGATACATTCATCTTGAGGGGGGACAGGATGAAGGAATTCCGTGGCATAGCGCAACACCTCCTGACGAAGTTCTCTAACGAACTTTGTGAGAGGTGGATTGGAAAATGGATCACCGGATCGATAGGCTGACGATGATACATTTTGATTCGAAGAATTGTCGTCAGCTGGTACATTGGAACCGGGAGGCACAGCTTCATCCTCAGCTCGAAATGAACTACCGTCATTATCTGCCGCCGCATCAACATCAACTGCAAGGCTTTTTATGGTGCTATCCAATAGGAATGGTACAGAAAATGGGATAGACCTACCATGCCAACTCTTCATCGGAAATTTTATCCTGCGCGAAAGATATCAGACAGCCGCCAAGCAAAATTCGCTGAGCCTGAGTGATGCGTGACTCCTTCCGCAAAACACGTCGGCGGAATATCCAGTAGCGTTCGTGCAGCCGACGAAAAGTAAGCTCTCCAGTGTGTCGGAAAAACAATACATTGGTCAGGAATGCGCGTTGTGTGGCTCGACATAGTCTAACAAAAGCAGGGCTGCGGAAATTCCACGTCTGGTAGAAAAATCCATAGCCCTTGCGCCACCACAAAGCAGGACTGTCAGGAAAGTGGGCACGAACTAGGTGAAGCTGGAAACGAAAACCTGAGCGATTAAAAAAAGGCAACTGAGTATAATATATGGGGAAACGAGTGCTCTCATGGGTACATTCATCGCCGTGCTCAAACAAGTGCGATTGCAGCAAATGGTCCCCGAGTGATGAGACAGACTGGAGATGCTCATTCATAGTGCCATTGTGAATGCAAGAGAAGGGAGTGTCAGTAAACATTTATGCAGCATATCACGTATATGACGAGCTGAATGGACTCGTAATGCCAGACAAGGTAAATTTACCAATCCCAATACAGTAAGAAAAAATCACTACTCTGAACCAGATAACTCCATAGCAACATTTGATCTGAAAAGTCTCATGCACTCCAACACCACTCAGACTGGATGGTCTGCAACCCGCATCTGACGACTTGAGCAGTTTGTTCTCAGCTCCCTTTTTCAAATCGAATTAACTGCGAAGTTTGGCTAGCGAACCGTCATGGTTTCCGATTTCATACTTGAAGGAAGTTACCACTTATTCGTCTGAATATGGGATCTCCTACAGCCCTGAAGTGGCTCGCCAGAAGTTCACTACCACCTGGCAATTAATCGTTTCCGTCAGAAACAATATCGTTTCTCGTATCTGCCGCGGATCCTGAGTGGATAAGCACAGATAGACCAAGAGGGCAGCTCAGGAGGTAGTGCAACTGAAGCGATAGCAGGCTGTCATTTGAACCGAATGTTAGGTGAAACAATACGCCTAAACCGTCCTGTTGGGCGCTGTAACGGCCACCAAGTGTAACTTAGACATGACTGACGAAAAGATCGGGACGGCGACGAAACGAATTCTTGCCAGTAGGAAATACTGACTTGACGGCTAGTCATGCTCCAGTATCCGCTGTACGCCAGTTGCCAGTGGCACATACAGAAGGAATTCGATTTTTCACACTTCAAATAAGCAGCAAAGTGCATGGTTTCGTTACTTCCCTATGGCGCTCAATACACTCAGTGTATTTTTGGTAGCTACTCTATCAAAAACGTCAGCGTGGGAGGGTCAGATCCAGAACCGAGGTGAATTCGAACTAATATTTAACTAGGCCTTGACATATTCGGTCTAGCTGATAATGCGTTGGTGAATACTGGTTACACACGACCCATAAATATCGCAGAGCGTTGTACTGACAACCGGAGCCCCAGGGCTAACAACGGGAAAGGTCACTACTAATTCCCGTTACCTATGGACGTTCCGTCCACTCCACTCACTACATATCAGCGCGCTGCTGAACAGCTAGAGGTTAGATTTTTGACATTTTTTGTTGGGATGACCTGTGGAGATGGCTCACCAAACAAGCGAAAGGAAATGACTTAAATCCACAGTCTATACTGCCGAGTTGGAGAAGCACAAATTCTAGTGACAATGGAGCGAGATGGCCCAAGTGGTTAGAGCGCGAATTTACTGACCGGAAGGTCCGTGGTTCGAATCCGACCTCCGCCACTCGACTTCCCCTGTCTAGGCTTGGGCAACCTGGCAGTATCCCAGCCCTCGTGCTTCCTTCGGGTAGCATGGCAGCTAGGCACCGGAAGGGTGCTACAGCTAAACGATTTCGATTTTTTTCTAGTGACAATGTTGTGTACTGACTGCCTAATGTGAAGCCACTGGAGCTCAACAATGAAATTTATGATAGACCTTATTTTAGAAACCAATTTGCGTCGGACAAGAGGGTGAGGAGCTTTGTAACATCGAGCTGCTTAAATCGCCCTTGTCAGCGACTACAGAAACATGTAGGAATCTTCACACACACGAACGTGTGGTCGGTACCTACGCGGGTGCTCCAGCATAGTCCTTAGCGTATCCCTTTAACGGTACCTGACTTAAACGTGGCCGATCAATGTCCAGCAGTAGCCTGCAGTTGGTGGAAGCCGAAGTTGTTCGGCGTTTTAGTGTCGAAAATTCGGATTATTTGGAGATAAGCTATGATCAACGCGCCATTCAGCTGTAACAGCCTTTCGGTGATTAACTGCGACGTCACCCGGAGGAAATACGGGGGATCAGATACTGTCAGGTTGCCCAAGCCTAGATATTAGCAGTCAAGATGCCTGGGTTGGGTTCAAACCACAAACCTTCCGGTTAGTAAGATCGCGTTCTAACAACTGAGGTACCTCGAGTTCAAAACACGGTCAAAAGCTGATCACCACACACGACAGGACCATGCAAACTCCCGGGGTTGAACATTTTTTAAACGAAGTCCACCAAAGCACGTTCAGGTCCTCACATATGAAAGTGGAACTGCGTGGAGTGATCTTCCTAGCTGACCGTAGAACGCGTCTTTTGATGTTGCGGTCGGCCAGTGTACAAGCTGAAACAAAACAGGGTGTCGACAAATGCTCTCATTTTCATCATAATTAGGCTTTTACGGGAGATTCAACTAAATCCAGCTGAATCTTTCGTTTATGATGGTCCGCCTCATCGGAATGTACTGCATCAGGTGCCTATGTGATGAGCCCCAACAAGGAGGAAAACGACTGTGGGCTGTCGAAGGGTTTCCAGCAAACTTGTGGGTAGTGTGCCACGTCTAGATAATGACCTATTGCGATAACTCGAATAATGTGCCAACTGAAACATGAAGCGGCCTAGTGCCGCACATTCGGTTGAAGCAGACCATCATGAAAGAGAGATTAGGCTGGATTTAGTCGAGCCTTAACTTAACCACCACACCTTGCATCGTCTTTGAATTTTGCGCCACACCGGAGGAACATAGAACAGCAGTCGTCTCTGTAGGTGATGGTCCAGCATCAGTAACGCATGAGTGAGCCACTGTCGTCCACAATGCCGAAGATTCTCCTTTTACTCAGCCAAAGACCCCTTTCCTAAGTCATCTGCTCCTAGTTCGTTGATACCGTTCAAAACCAAGGCAGACCAAGACGTCGCTAGTCGATGACCTCTGATCATCTGGCCTTAAGGAGCCATGTATCGCAACCATTCTGCACAATTTGCACTGTAGCCTGGTGCACATCATCATCACCAGCTCTCGAAACCCCGGATTTCTTCTACAATGGTTATAACTGTCACAGTTTTTTTTGCCGATGACCTGGGAGCGGTGTTATATAGCTACGCATTGGAGGCGGCAGATGATGTAATTTATGCTTCAATACATGGTCAGTGGCCTTTTGAGTGGAGAGAGCGGAGGGAGTCCCATTTCGAAGGCATTAAGTGCGCGAATGGGTCAGGTTTGACAATGTCTCTAGTCATTGATGTGTCCCGACTCAGGGACTTATCCAGGAAAACGGCCATGATCAGCACAGGTCGGTAATGGCTTTCATGATTCACTAACAAATCACTGCCTTACCTTCCTTGGCTTGTTTCCACATTTCGCGTGGTTATGCAAAAAGGGCTGTTCATGGAGGTCAGTCGACTGACATACAGAGCACGTGACCAAGCCAGTGAAAATTATGGGGTTTGACCAGTTGATCTATCGTGGGCAAGGTATTTCATCCGGAAACCATTACAGATCCAGTGTTCCCGTCAGACTCAGGCAGTGCTCTGAAAATATGGTCAAACACTGAATGTTTTCAACGTCCTCAGTGAGCGGAGACCAGATTTCTGATGCAAATAACAATTTAGAATGCACTGCAGCATCCTAAACCCGATCCCCACCTACGCTAAGGTGATCCAGGTTCACAAAAGCTGCTCCAACCTCCGCAATCCATATGCAAGGAGCGAGATGGACCAAGTGGTTAGAGCGCGAATTTACTGACCGGAAGGTCCGTGGTGCGAACCCGACCTCTGCCTCTCTAGTTCTCCAGTCTATGCTTGGCGAACTGGCAGTATCCCAGCCCTCGTGCTTCCTTCGTGTGGCATGGCAGCTAGGCACCGAAAGGGTGCTAAAGCTGAACGATTCATTTTTATTTGAATCCATATGGAAATATAGTCTTTGGCCAAACCACCAGGATTCATACAGCTACCCAGGTAAACAAAGTTGCCTGCTAGCTCAATCAGCTCATTCGCAAGCATGACATAAGGGTTCTAACCCACACAGTCTTACAGAAGCACTCTCCACTTTTCAGGCGTGAAGCGCAATCCATACCGCGAGGCAGAATTATTTAGCCTATGTGACATCGTTCGCATTACGACGGCGTCAGATCCAAGAACAGCTACATCGTCAGTGTACTCGATTTCTGTTAGCGAATGCCCTTGGAGAATTTCGACACCTTAGACATTATGGGGCTGGGATTGAGAGCTAAAGAGCGTTAGGGGGGAGGGTGAAAAAGGACAGTCTTGACACGCACCACTTGAACACATACGACAGCTTCCTGTAGACCTTCACGCATCCGCGTGAGTTGGTGTAAAACCTCTTAAGCAGGGTCCAGAATCGGTGGGGCACGACTCTGCTGCATAAGCACTGTCATACGTCCTGACGGTCGCCGAGTCAATGGCAACTTTCAAGTAAAGGAAGACAACCATTGTTGGTTGGTGAAAGAAGCGTCTTTGTTCTAAATTCTGTCAGGGGGTGAAAATATGGTCGGTGCATCGTCTTACAGCAAGGAACCCAGCTTGGTTTTGACGGACCTGTCTCTCCCCGTGTTCCATCAGTCTTCGAAGGAAACGACCACAGATCTTTCGATGTCACAGCTACTAGCCTGATGCCATGATGGTTTTCACAGCTATTCCTAATTTCACGTCACACCTGAAAGAGTCACTCTCCGTTGTCCGTGTGACAAGCAACGACTCCGAACCGACAGCCCAAATGTGATTTCAGCTCAAACCGACCTGAACATTCACCTCGCTCACAAGGATCACAATGTCAATGCTTCTTGGTTGACGAATAAACCCGGATAGATCTAGATAGAAAGCATCCCTCTCAGCGTCAGAACCGCAGTCCGTTAAGGCATACACTGACACAACGTACGGCCGCGTTTTTATGCAGAGGTTCTGAGCTTGATTGAGCTGGGTTACCGGAAGACTGTTCATTGGGATCCAATCCCGCAGAGCGCGTTCAGCTCCGGGGCTGAGTGCAACTCCCACACCATGTACTCCACGAGCCATCGCTTCTGGATCACTGGACACACCAGGGTGATATGTGAAAGAGCTGAGTCCGTCATTGGCGTTCTGAGCTGTATAATCACGCTTGAGCCTTTTATGAGTGTTTCGGGGACAGCAGCCACTAATTTTAACGGAGTACAAGTTTTCAATGAGCATTGCCTGTTTGACACTTTGACACAGTACAGACATTAAAAATAAAGCTTGCTACGATTGGATTGTGCAGTGTTACTTTGTTCCACGTAAATGGGAAGCTGGTTGGATAGGGCACATCGGCCGGATAACTGACAATCCAATGGCCCTAGCAGCACAACTCGGTTATTAGTCGGTTATATGGCGGTTAAAGTCGGTTATTTGACGGTTATTTAACCGTGTAGCTATCATCCAATCAACATGAAGTGTTGTTGCCACACTTATTCACATAAGTTTTTCTTATGACACAAAGTGTTGGCATAAAACAAAAGTGCATTATTCCAATAGATTTTAAGAAACCCGTTCTGACACTTTTTTGTTTATCTGCATCAGTGTTTAAGTAAATGGCCGTAGCCGCCAAGCCCATTCCCAGGATCGTCGCTGACCCACGCGCCTGCTGTCTCCACGTGTTTGTGAATTTCTATCTGGAGGAATGACTGCTCATGACTGCTGATACATGTATGACAACTGTAGCCTTCCAAACGTGGTTTGCTCATTTCAAGGTGGACACTTAACCGCAAACTAAAGCGTGCTAGAGAGTTAGCCTTGGAACAACCACCCAATTAGATGATCCAGAGAAGTCCCCTCAGGAGAATACATCCACTTGGGCATTGCGAACGGGCTTCGCCGGGTTGTGCCGATTTACTTGCCACCCCAACCTCATATTATCCATTTACATATGAATGTAGATGGGATGAAGCTGCCCAATAACGGTACAACCGTAATCTGGCCTATACTAGCACGTATTGTGCGGCCCTTCACTAGCCCGGTATTCCTTGTTGGGCTTTATGGAGGAGTTCGTAAACCCGAGGACGTTTGTACATACCTGCATGACGTAGTGCAGGAACTGGAAGAGCTCCTGCGTCTGGGAGTTGTCGTTAATGACCTGCATCATCAGGTCGTGTTGGATGCAATTATTTGTGACAAACCGGCACGCTCCTTCG